TATATATATATATATATATTTATTGATTATACTTTCATGGTAAACAGTTATGTTCGAAACATGATTGAGAATTATATGTAATCAACTTGTTTGGATATAAACTTAATAGTAATTTTGAGAATTTTTTTTATCAAAAAATACTTTTAATTTTTTAGAGAAATTTTTAAAAACGTTCTGAACTTTTATTTAAACAGGCTCGATTTTTCTTTCAGTTATAATTCGAATCTGGATTCATGGTGTTGTGGATTAACTCCTAATGTTAGACCTAACCTCATTGATGGTTTATATATTTATCTTGATGTAACCCTTCATTATGTCAGGCCCTTGTTTTGCTATAAATATATATGTTTTAGGATTCACAAAAAGTAAGTAGCTATCAAACTTGGCCTCCATTTTGCCTCTATAGCTTTCCACTCCCGAACTCATTAGTTACACCCCTTAACCAAGCAAATACCCTTACTCCTCAACCACTTCTCCACCATTTCTCATTCACTCTACTTAGACTTCCATGCACGTCACGTCCTCACACAGCCACATGAAGGCTGAGCTGAAAGGCACGTCCATTTCCTTTCAAAACCCTACTCTCTTCAACACACCCCACAACCCTCTCTCGGGGGCACTCAAAGGGTGTCTTGGGAGCCTCGATGGAGCTTGTATTGAGAAGCTCTTGCTTCACTGCGCCAGTGCTTTGGAGAGCAACGACATCACCTTGGCTCAACAAGTCATGTGGGTGCTCAACAACGTTGCTTCCCCTGCGGGGGACACTAACCAAAGACTCACCTCGTGGTTTCTGAGGGCACTGATCTCTAGGGCTTCGAGAATTTGCCCTGCTGCCATGAGTTTCAAAGGAAGCAACACCATTCAAAGGAGGTTGATGACGGTGACCGAGCTTGCCGGGTATGTGGATCTAATTCCTTGGCATAGGTTTGGGTATTGTGCTTCCAACAATGAAATTTATAAAGCAATAACGGGGTTCCAAAGGGTGCATATTCTAGATTTTAGCATAACGCATTGCATGCAGTGGCCTACTTTCATAGATGCGTTAGCAAAAAGGCCTGAAGGACCCCCTTCACTTAGAATCACGGTACCATCTTGTAGACCACATGTACCCCCTTTGGTGAACATATCAATACACGAGGTTGGGTTACGTTTAGGGAATTTCGCCAAGTTCAGAGATGTCCCTTTTGAATTCAATGTTGTAGGGAACACAGGACCATTAATACCCGCTGAATTGAGTGATGAATCAACTAGCTTTCATTTTGAATCAATGTTGAGTCTCTTGAATCCTACTATGCTAAACCTCAGGGAAGATGAAGCTTTGGTCATAAATTGTCAAAATTGGCTACGCTATTTGTCTGATGATAGAAAGGGAAGCCGCCAAAGTCTTTCCCTTAGAGATGCTTTTCTGCATCTGATTAAAGGTCTTAATCCCCGGATTGTGCTATTAGTTGATGAGGATTGTGATCTTAGTGCATTCAGTCTCGCATCAAGAATTACCACATGTTTCAATCATCTATGGATACCCTTTGACGCATTGGAGACTTTTTTGCCTAAAGATAATTGTCAGAGGACAGAGTTTGAATCCGACATAGGGCAGAAAATTGAGAACATCATAAGCTTTGAAGGGCATCAGAGAATTGAGAGGTTGGAGTCCGGGGTGCAAATGTCTCAAAGAATGAAAAATGCTGGGTATCTAAGTGTTCCATTCTGTGATGAAACTGTTAGAGAAGTTAAGGGTTTGCTAGATGAGCATGCTAGTGGATGGGGGATGAAAAGAGAAGAAGGTATGTTAGTTCTCACATGGAAAGGAAACAGCTGTGTGTTTGCGACAGCTTGGGTCCCTTATGAAATGAGGGATGATCTTGGTATGGATGCATGCATGTCTTGAACACACTTCATGAGAGGCAAGTTTGGACCTACTATGGGATGTTGTGCTTAATTCAGTGGTCCAAAGAGGAGGCAGAGGAATTTCATCTCTTTGTGTGAAAGGGTTGAATTTGATCATCTGCAAAAGACAACTAGAGAAGACGGCTTGCAGCATTTTGAAATTTTTGTGGCAACTTTGTAATGGAGCTCTATAGGTTGGACTTGGATCACATGATGAAAGGCAAAAAAGGAAAACAAAAAATAATGTGTAAGTTGTCCTTGTATGAGGAAAATTTGTCTTCTTAGCTATGCTTTCTCTTTACGCAGCTTTAACTTGTTTCTGCTCAGACCTTTAGGTATATAAGAGGTTGTTGTATGAAAAATCTCAACCTTGTTATCACCTATTTCTAATAATAAAGTTTTTCAGATTAGTAACTTTTGTATCCAAACATGCATAAGCATATAAGTTAATAAGGCTAACATTAATGTACTATAGTGTCATAGGTTAATGACCGACTCAAGTAAAATATACTCCATCGATAATTTTCAAATTACTGTGCATTTTAATCTTGTAAAATAATATTAATATTTCTTGGTACATATACATAGAGATATATAAAAGGACCACCTCAAAATTTAATTTCACGAGTAGTCGTCTTCAATGTGAAGATGTACAGGCTAGGGCCAAACGATTATCTTTTCGAGTAGAAGGTGATAATGATAACTCATGAATTGTAGCATATACACAATTGATCAACCCGTTGCAGTTAGGGGTCCAGACGGGACATCTTGTGAATTTGTTTTGTGTTTTAGGTAAATCAAATTTGATATTGGAAGGGAAAAAGGACAACATGGTCCATGCGACAGAACGAATCCAACCTGCCGGATTCGAACCAGCATGGTCCCACCACAGTCTCTCATGGCATCATTGTTTAGAAATATTCAAAGTGTGTTCATGGTTAAGAGTCATAAGACTTCATGAATTCACTGTAATGAGTCAGATAAATATTTTCAGGTTTTCACCTGTATTAAGGTTTCAATATGCGATTCCCTCTCTTCGCTAGTTCAAGGTCCTCCTATCTAGCTACTTTATAAAATTCATAACATTTTAACATACATCCTATAACCTAATAATAAAATTAATCTAGCGAGTTAAAAATAATAATAAACTAGACATTGAACCTTGTGTAGATTTATATAAATAAATGCATATGATATAATTTAAAAATATAAGAAATATTTTTTTTATTTAAATATATTTTGAATCTAACTGAAATAAATGAGTTTTGATTTTAGTTATTATAAATTTTTTATTTTTTATTTTTCTAAAATTTAAAAATATTATTTTTAATCCTTAATAATCATTTTAAGATATATATATATATATATATGATCGATCCAACCCTCTCAAAAAAAAAATATTATTAGATCTAAACCAAATCTCAAGGTCAGACTTTCTTAAAATTAATAATAATATCTTTTGATAAAAAAATAAAAATATTTTATAGATGAATCTTGAAAAAAAAATAATTATATTTATATATCTTTTATAAATAGACCTTTTAAAAATAATTTTTAATGTAAAAAGTGACTTTTTAATTATGAAATCTTGAAAAAAAAATTATTTAAATATTTTTTTTGAGAGAGGTCCAAAGCGAGGGTCTTATTGGCCTCACCCTTAGGCCAACCATATATATATATATATATATATAACACTTATTTTAAGGATTTATAAAATAAATTTAGAAGTATCACATGCAATCAAAGTATCACAGACAAGAATAAGTATCACTTGAAATGATCACATAACCTTCTAGTAAAAATATAAGTAGTTATATATGGTCACATAGTAGTAGGGGTTAAAACAATAGTTTTACATTTTAGAGAGATGAAAAATAAATAATAAATTTTACAAGGACTAAAATAAAAAATATGCTTATTTTATAGAGACTAAAAATATATTTAAGATTATTTTTTTAAAAAAATATTATTTAAAATTTTAAAATTAAATAATTATAAAATATTTGTTGAAATATAAAATATGTAAATACTACAAAAAAATGTCATGTAGTGATACAAATTTTATAATGACACGATATTTGTTACTAAAAGTTACTTTTACTTATATTATAGATATAATATACGTTGATATATTATTAAAAAAAATATAAATATAGACTATAATGATACATAATATATGTTGTTAAATATCATTTAAAAATAATATTAAAATTATATATAATCATATGTCAACTAGATTTATACATACATACATATATATATATATATATATATATTATATTTATAGTAACACATTTTATATGTCACTGTATATAACATTTCTTGTAATAAAAGTTTGTATGCAATAAATATATATTTGATAAAATTTAGAAGATGAAAAATGTTAAAATATTATGGATGAAGTATTGTACAAGGTATAAAAAAAATGTTATATAAAATAAAAGAAGTATAATAAAATTGGTTTTATCTTATAAAATGATATCAATTTTTTTAAAAACAAAAAGGTTTATATAGATCTTTGTATTTGAAGTTGATAGTTAATATTTGAGTATTCATCTAAAATAGAATTGTTAGAGTGTAATTAATAAGCTAAATGATCAATAGAAATAAAAAGTGTAAATTTAAAGTAAGAAAAGTTTTGTAAAAAAAAAAACTGATATAAATCCTTGTATTTGAAGCTAATAGTTGATTGAATATATTCATTAAAGTAAGAAAAATTAGTCAAAAAGACTTAATTATAATAACTAAAAATATTTTAAACAATAAATTGAATTTAAAAATTAAGATAATTTTAATAATAATAAATAATTTTTTTTATACAATATTGATGATGATAATAATGAATGTGTGTGCGCGTGCGTGTGTTATCACAAAATATTTTAAGTAAAATATTAATATTATAATAAATATCACATATAGTGACATATAAAAAATGTCACTATAAATATAATATATATTTATATAAATTTATTTGACTTATAACTACATATAATTAACATATATTTTATTTATAGTTTAATTAAAAATAATTTTTATTGACAAGTATTATGTTGCTATAGAGTGAATGTCACAACATAATAAATTTTTTTTAGAGTAATTTTACTAAATATAAAAGTAGTATGAAAAAAAAATATATATGGAGAGAATTTTAATGCCTAATATGTGATAATATTTATTGAATTAAATTTAGGAATTGAAAACAAAAAAAACCACCACAGTTTTATTTATATGGAAGTACATGTATGGAAGGAACTCTCGACAGAGTTACTTCATTCAATAACTTATAATTTACATTAAATTTTGATGATCAAACTTATAAATTAAAAGTTATTAATTAATAGATTATAGATAAAGTCTATAATTTTTTTTTGCAAAATTTAAAAGCTACATGATATTACGTTGTATAGATTCAAATTAATGTATAACATGCTTTTGTACATATATGTTAATTTGAATTAATGTAATGAAGTATCGAATATAATTTTCAAAATTTATAGATTTTAATCATTTTATCTATTCATTAATTATTTTTAATTTAACAGTTTGATTGATAAAATTTAACATGAATATCACTATTGTTACAATCAAAGGCCATAAAAAAAACTCTCTATCATACATCAATATACGTAATTATTTTAGTTGATTTTATTGGTTTTATTATAAAAGATAATAATTCATGAAGTATCAATTTTACTCTTATTACTTATTAATTATTATTAAATTGTGATATATTCAAGTTTACACATCAATATCAATAAAATTGATATTGATAATGGAGAGTTAAGAGGTGAAACAAACTATTTACCTATCAAAGTCTCTTCTAATTATTCAAAAACAAAAAACATATATACTGTAACATTGTACATTTTTATAATTGCTATTAATTTTATTAATATTGGTGTTGTGTTGAATTGTTATCTTGTTGTTAAGAAACTCTGCAATTATGAAATTGCTTTGTGAGTTTTTATTTATTTAAGAATATCTCTAAGCAAAGGTCTGGACCTATAGGAGAAGGGTATATAATATAAGGCTTTCTTAAAAAGTGAACTTTATAAGTTCATTTCTTCAAAGAGTTTAAAGAGAAGTTAGAGAGAATGGCAATGGTTCCTAAATTTTGATTTTCTTTTCTCAAACCTTCCTAAGAGTGATGATCCATAGTTGAGAAGCGGAGCGGTAATTCGAAGTCCGTAGAGTTGAGAACCTAATATTTCAAGGTGCAAGTACAAAGTTGCTCAGAGTCATTCTTCTTCCTCTTCTCTCTTTCGAATTCTTGAGTTTTTGAGGTAAGAGAAGTTATAATTAAAATTTTTGATGATTTTTGGAGTTGCATATAGTTTAATTTCATCTTATTGTGAATGTGTTGATTGGATCAAAGGATGAAATGTTATGTTTTGAGTTGGTTTTGAAGAAGTTATGAAGATAATGATGATTTAGTGCTATTAATTAGTTGCATGTTGAAATTTATGGTATTTTAGAGTTGGTGTTGTTGTGTAGAGCTATTTTCTTGTATTGCATGCCAAATTTCTTGGTTTTCAGGAGATGAGAGGGCCAAATTCATGATCTATTATGTGCAAAACTCACAGTCGCACTAGACATGTCTTTATGGCGTCAATTCAACTAAGGACATTCTATCTAGCTCATGTTGGGCGCAAGATTGGTGACATCTGACATGAGAAGAGAGAATCATCTTAGGTTAAATAGACGTCGGGCATAGGTTGAATGACATCGAGTGTGAGGTGAAAGAATTGATTCTGGTTGGATTGACTCTGAGTGCTAAAGGAGTGGCATTGGGCATCAAGAGAGAGAATCGTCTAGGGTTAGAATCATGCCAAGTACCAATGGAGTGATGTTGAACATGGATTAACTCGAGGCTCTCTGCCTAGTTGGGGTCGGGCATGGATTTTTGCCTGCCAAGCATGAAGTCCTAGGGGTTTCTATAAAATCCATAACAGGTGCGAGTTGAATAGCACTTGGTGCAAGTTATATTATTTTAGCTTGTTTTATGATGAAATTGGTGAACATGTATAAGATAGTTGAATCTATTACATGCTATATGATGATTAAGTCGTGTTGTATGTGTATATTATTGTATAATGATGAATCTCTATACACTGATCTAGGATAGTGAATAGTAGATATTATGCTTGAAAGTTGAGTTGAGTTGCATGTTGTTGAGTTGAGTAACTGTGTTGAGAATGCTTTGACATTAAAGTTGTACTTTGTTGATTGACCTAGGACTAAAGGAGAGTTAATTTTTAAATTGTATATTCCATTGTGAGGATATTGTGTTGTGGTGCTCTAAGAGTTCAAATTTGTTGAAAATCCTTATTGGAAAGTTGACCCTTGAAGTGGATGGTTGTGTCTCCTTTAGGACCTTAGTTGATGCGTTATATGGACCAGGTTGAGGCATACTA